GCCTTGGACTTGTTGAAGCACAATTATCGAGTCACCCACCACGACTATGTCCTGAATTCCTCCTCCAAAGCCATTGCAAACCCTTTATGCACCCCGAAGTATTCCGCGTCGTTGACGGTGACTCCATCCAGAATGTACCTTCGAGCATCCAAAACTTTTCATTCAGGTAGCTGCCACAGAATGCATCCACAGATGCCTTTCCTCGTTGAAGTTATGGTCGCACCATCGAAACTCAGGACTACCCCGGAGTACGCTTCTGAGAGCATTTCGACACTCACGACTGTAGACGGTTTGACGCGCCCCATGGCTGGAATGAGTACCTTGCCGACATCCAAGTGCTCCCTGTGAGTGATACTTGCGCCCATAATGGCGGCTAAACCATCCTCATCTCGACAAACCTTCCGGATTTCCAAGTCATACTGTGAGAGAGCAACGCCCCATGGTACCAGACGGCCTTCGGAGGTCTTGGAATTAATGACCCACTTCAACACCGAATCTCGAGTGTAGATTATCAACGGACATCCTTCGATCAAGTTCTTGACCACATGGAGAACTCGCATCACAGCGAGGACTTCCTTCTCAGCAATATGATACTTGAGCTCGGCGTCATTCAGGATGCGCCCGGGAATCGAACGGGCTAAATAAATCCGTCATGCATCTGTCCTAGCACCGCACAAGCAGCACACCAATTCGCACGAGGGATGATCACTAAATATTTCGTTTGATCAGGATGTCTGAGTGGATGTGTAGACACGATCTTCCTCTTCAGGGTCTCAAAGGATTCCTTCGCTCGAGACAAGTCTCGCTCTGCACGCACTTGATCATCTGTCAACTCGTTGAGTGAAGCAGATACCACAGCATAATCTTCAATGAATTTGCGGTAGTAATTCAGGCTGCCTAGAAATGACTGAACTCCTTTCAGGGTAGACGGAAATGGTAACTCCTGAATGCCTTTTACGATCTTCGGGGTGGCAAGTATTCCTTCAGCACCAATCTCATGGGAGAGGTATGGTATGACACGCTTCCCGAACTCGCTTTTAGGCAAGCAAACTGAGATATTCCAGTACCGTAACCGATAGAGCAACGCATCTAGATCACAGCATAGTTGATACCACGTGGCTGCCCCATGTGCGGTGTCATCAATATACGAACTGCTCCCCAAAACCGGCCTCATTTGGGATGGTGCGGGAACGTTACGCTTGAAAACCGTCATGTGCTCCACTAGTGGTGTCATACTGCGTTCCACATCCGTTTCATCGCTCGACGACTGAGGGTCCAACTTCAAGTAGTCTAACACATCCTGATCCACGAGTGCTTCTTCTTCGGGTGCACGAATCCCCACAGGCAATTGTTGATCATCTGCTGGTAAATTAGTGGGGCGTTTTCAACCAGAATGGCATACGTACCCATTGGAAATGCCCGAATGGACAGGTAAATGCCGAGATCAGCTTAGCCTTTTCAGTCATTCGGACGGCCCAGAAACCACTCGCCATGTCAAGAATCATAAACCATATCATTCCTTCGAAACTAGTAATGAGATCGTTGATCAGTGGTATCGGGTAGTTCGACAATTGAATGAAGCTGTTCCCGACTCGACAGTCGATGTAGATTCGAATGTCCACTCCATTCCTCTTGAGTACGATCATGATTGGGGATGCCAATGGCGATTCGGTGTGTTCAATCAATGTAGCTTCTAGGATCTTCTTCTGCCAATTCAACACCTTGATTGCCAAGTGCGGACCGACCGATCGGGGTCGTTGGGCAACGGGCTTGGCATCACTCACACCTAAATCACAGATGACGCCCCTCGCCGGATGTGGGGCAGCATTTCCGTCGCCTAAGAAGTTTTTCCGGTGCCTTTTCAGGACGGCCTTCAATTACTTCTCTGCGTGCTCTCGCCAGATTCTCCAACGTCAGCAGCCTCGATATCGCATTCAGGAGAGAAGTCGTCCAAGTCGGGTAGCATAACCTGTGATCCTTCAACTAAGCCATAAGCTCACTCCCTTCACGAATATAAACCGCCGGTTCTAGATCGAGTTCCTCAGCACTCACTCGCATGCACCCAGCATACGCTGCATGAATTCTTGCGAGCGATATTCCGCGTACGGCAGAAGAAGGTAACTCGAAATTCTCGTCTTCTATGCTCGTGTCTGAGTCATCTCGTCTGGGACTTCTCTGCTGAATCCCGAATTAACAACCTCTCCGCTATCCTGGGTGTTGACATCCAGGGTGGCAAGTTCAGGCGAGACTTTCGACAGCCATGAGTCAGCTAATCGCGCTCGGCGAGTAAGTCCCTAGTGTAGCACCCTCAGCTGATTCCACGCCATCGGTGTCTCTTTGCGGTTGCAATTCTTTCACAATCTTCGTAACCTGGGCCCGCTCGGGTCCCTTTGGCCTCACTAGTAACTTCGTTGGCCATTTGTATTTAGGAACCACAACTGCAGGTGGAGCCGCATTCCGAAGCATATGTTCATACGCTTCCTGACGCACCCTCGCCTTCGCGGACAATGTGTTCTTTTGAATAATCTGCTGCCATTCCATATACCATCGTAACCCAGGGCGCGCGAACTGTCCAACTATGGGGATGTTCCCATACTTCGCAATCCGAGCAACGGGTGTCCTACGCTCGACCCAACAATCTCGGCCCGAAACGTTGCCCATGTTTATTGCTACAGCCCACGATCGTGCGCCGTAAACAATTTGGTGACCAACGGATCACCTCGTCCTGCCCATACGACATCTTGGAGCGGGCGACATTGTCCATATCGGATGGCCACGTTTGCGTGTTCTCCGGGTCGCAGATGGAATCCTCGACGGGGGCAGACTGGGATGTCTCTGTACTCACGTCTTCGCACAGTATACCCGTATATCAAAATTGATTCTTCATCCGGGAGACCTACCATTCCCTCACGAATACCTAGGCGTACTCCAGCACTGAACATGAAATCCATCCCTAAGAGTACATCCATCCCTTCTCCGATGATCGTTACCCAGACATCCATGCCATACACAACTCGCCATCCCAAAGTGATCTTGATCTGTGCACTCGAA